GTGTATCCTTGGTAAAGAGAAAACTTTCAGGGCCTGTTTTCCCCTCATACTTGGTTAAAATATGTAAAAGGCTAAGAACAGTGGCTTGCTTACAGTAAGCACTCTGCAATGATTTTAGCAAGTATTCTTAGATGTTTTAAAATTATATACTATTTAATACACACATATGAAGCATAACAGGATAAAACACTGGGAAACCCACCACCCAACCTATTAAACAGAATACTATGAATATAGTTTTTTCCTGATCCCATCCTCCTGGCTTCTCCTCTAGAGAAAATAACTATCTTGAATTTTGTATTTATCATTCTTTTTCCTTAAAAAAAAATATGTCATGTTCCACATTTGTACAGGGCCTGTTTCTTTATAGGTAAGATGAAACTTTGGATTAGCAGCTCTCTAAACTCCCTTCTAGCTTTAAGAGTATATGAGATATGATAGGTGGATAGGAAAGCTACATACCTAGCAGAACCATATCACTGTTTATTTTTCAAGGGTTTTATAAAGCTAAAACACTTGCTCTTCTGTTGAAATCTCCAATTCAACAAAAGGATATCTCAATGGAACTTTTTTTTTAGAAGAGTCTGTGGGGTTTTTTTTTCTTTCATAAATTTATTTATTTTTGGCTGAGTTGGGTCTTTGTTGCTGCATGTGTGCTTTCTCTAGTTGTGGTGAGCAGGGCCTACTCTTTGCTGCGGTGTGTGGGCTTCTCTTTGCGGTGGTTCTCTTGTTGCGGAGCACAGGCTCTAGGTGTGCAGGCTTCAGTAGTTGTGGCACATGGGCTTAGTTGCTCCACAGCATGTGGGATCTTCCCGGACCAGGGCTCAAACCCATGTCCCTTGCACTGGCAGGCATATTCTTAACCACTGCACCACCAGGGAAGCCCAAGAGTCTGTGGTTTAAAAAAAAAAAAATTATTTATTTACTATCTTCTGCTGCGTTGGGTCTTTGTTGCTGCGCATGGGGTTTCTCTAGTTGCGGCGAGCGGGGGCTACTCTTCGTTGTGGTGCACAGGCTTCTCATTGTGGTGGCTTCTCTTGTTGTGGAGCATGGGCTCTAGGTGCATGGGCTTCATTAGTTGTGGCACATGGGCTCAGTAGTTGTGGCTCACAGGCTCTAGAGCACAGGCTCAGTAGTTGTGGCGCACAGGCTTAGTTACTCCGCGGCATGTGGGATCTTCCTGGACCAGGGCTCAAACCTGTGTCCCCTGCACTGGCAGGCGGATTCTTAAGCACTGCGCCACCAGGGAAGCCCCCTCAATTGAACTTCTAATTTCAAGATCAAGACTTTCCATCACTTTCAATTTGCACCTCTGCTATAAAGTTATACTCTAGAGAAAACCAACACAAGGAGCTAAATAATCTAAGCCCCTGACACTGTCCAATGAAATCTTGAAACTCAAGCCTGGGGAAATAGGACTGAAACAGATGAACTGGGAAAGCATACTTTATTTCAGTGGCAAGTATTTTAATAAAAATTAAGAGGCATGGTTGGGTTCTTATGCAGTAGCTTTTAATACAACCTGGATTTATTTCTTCCACATATATGTGTATATATAAGTAGTATAAAGTAAAACAACTAACTTTGTCTTTTTAACTTTCATAAAAGGTGCTTACACTATTTTAGTTTCATAAAAACCCATCTTTAGGGCTTCCCTAGTGGCGCAGTGGCTGAGAGTCTGCCTGCCGATGCAGGGGACGTGGGTTCGTGCCCGTCCGGGAAGATCCCATGTGCCGCGGAGCGGCTGGGCCCGTAAGCCATGGCCGCTGAGCCTGCGCCTCCGGAGGCTGTGCTCTGCAACGGGAGAGGCCACAACAGTGAGAGGCTGGCGTACCGCAAAAAAAAACCAAAAAACTTTAAATACGATAAACACAAATGCAAATTGGCTGACCATATGGCTTTCCTCTAGGGTGCCTGTCTGGCCTAGGATGCTGTTCTCCCTATCTGTAAACAACCTGAGATTTTGTATTTGTCACACCAGTTACCAAGTTGATAAGAGTTAAGTGAGTTGGACCAGGCAGTGGAATTGCTATGTCAAGGGCAAATAAATGCCCCGCTCATACACAGGTCTGCGTTTATCAGACTTCAGTATGGCTGGAATAGAAAGTCAGCTGAGACTGTTGGTACGAGGTAAACGGTTAATGTGTTTTCAGTGGCCTTTGAAGAGGCCATGACTGTAAAGAAGGATGTGAGTATGTTCTGAACCTTAACAGCACCAGGACAACAGTGGTAAAAAGAATGAGCATTCACTACAGTAATTTTTTCATGGAATTTCAGTAGTTTTCCTTATTCTACCCATTGAATTGGCACAAGAAAACAGATATTTCCTTAGAGGTATCTTCTTCCCAAGGCCAGTCTTGCTTCAATCATTTAAAATATAGCATACAGGGGTTCCCTGGTGGCGCAGTGGTTGAGAGTCCGCCTGCCGATGCAGGGGACGCGGGTTCGTGCCCTGGTCCGGGAAGATCCCACATGCCGTGGAGCGGCTGGGCCCGTAAGCCACGGCCGCTGAGCCTGCGCGTCTGGCGCCTGTGCTCCGCAACAGGAGAAGCCACAACAGTGAGAGGCCCACGTACCAAAAAAAAAAAAAAAAAAAATATATATATATATAGCATACAAATCACCTTGATTTTTATAACCTGCCTCTTTAAAAATGGTAATAAGAAGTATAATGTCATCTCCTTGGTTTCTGTCTACTTTGGAGCTTAATATGAATTGTGAAAAGTACAACTAAAGGACTCTAAGAATGTCAGTATAGGTATTAAGAGACTAACACAAGCAGCTACTGTTCTCTCTCAACACTGAAAGGGTACTGCAGTGCACTATTTGAAACTGAATCCAAATACTCTCCTTGTTCAGCTCAGGTACAGCTACCAGGAGAGCTAAGCATCATTTATTACCTACATTTGTTTATTCCTGGTAAGAACATTTGCAAATCACAGTGGCACTTCCAGAATACCTACAGAGAAAGGTAATCTTCCAGAAAGCAAATCCTCTCCTTGGGGTAGAGTATGGAATCCCTGGATAAGATCAATATGCAGGATTCAAAGGCTCTCTAAGATAAGCTCAAATTTTTAAAACATGTCTGCATTTAACCTTTAACCATAACACTTGACCTGAACTGAAATTAAGGTACAATATTCAAGTGTTTACCTTCCACTGCTCACATTCCAAAGGGAAGGCAGCCTCTGAAGAAGGTCTCAAAAATAAGCAAAGCTTCTTCTCCCAACTCCCAACTTCTGACAAGAGTTAAACAGTCACTTCTTTGTTCTAGTTTTTAGGAGTGTCCAAAAATCTTCAGCAAACTAAATCCAGTCTAGTGAATCCTAGGGCCAATAAAAATCCTAAGCAGTCTCTGAAAGCTCCTGGACAAGACAAATTGGCTGCTTTAATCATTAGTTTACTAAAGAACAACTGGGTTATCTATTTCGCGAGCTAACAAAATTAACATAGGCAGGCATTCTCCCATAGTGAGTGTTACACTCGCAAAGGTCAGATGTGTTGTGGTTAAGTTTTCGTAGTGGTGAGCCAAGAGGTGTCCTCCTAAAATAACATAAGGTTTTTCATGAATGACATGCTAGCCTTTCTTGCCCCTTTAGATATTTAAAAAACACAAAGTAACTATTTTCTATTTAATTCCTTTGTTGAGTTGTACTCAAGTAGCTAATTCTTTGCAATATGACTCATACCCCTTTTTCCTAAACTAGGAAGGAGCTCTGGGTTACAAGTGTAGTGTACAGAGTTTGGGTTGTCATTACCCAAACGAAATCAAAAGGGTTTTGTATTTTCTAGTTAAAACTATTTTTAAATAAAGTTAAATGTGAGTTGCTGACTGATACTCAAACATAAGTAACCAGAATTAGGAGAATAATGGGTGTTTTTTTCCCCTCCTCAATACATTATACCACCCACTCCAGAAGAAATGGTCTATTTATTCACTTATTCATACAGCTAGAAGAAGAAATACTATTGTGCTAGGGCTTATCTTGAATCTGTTTTTAGAGATTGGAACTAAATAAACAGATAGCTCTGCTTCATTAAAGAGAGAATCCTGTTTTGTGTGAAACTTGTGGAAGAGGCATTCCACAAGAGCCCACTCCCCCTACAAACAATGCTCAACAGATCAGTTTTGGAAGTATTGGTCAGTATGCTTCATCTGACTCCCTATCTATACCAGATCCCAAATCCCTTCCCATGCCAAATGGCTTTAAAACCAAACCACACCAAACCTGAAAAAAAACAACCAAACAAAAAACTGGTCTGAGAGATTATGAAGTCTCCTTGTGAGGGTCAACAAGATGCTAGGATAGCCAGAGCCTTGAGTTCAGAAATCTAACTTATTATACACACGTCCCAGGGTAGTCAGCAGGGCCTTCACACATTTCAGCTTTGAAGCTTAATCAAATTTCACACACAGGTGAAAAGCCTATCTCTTCTCCACATGTACATTGGTTCCTCCTCTCCATTCCAATCTTCACTCCTACGCAATCCACACCTGGTTTGACAGCTAGTACAATTTCTAGCTGGAATGTGGGAAAGAGAAAAGAAATAAAAGAAACCTACCCTAGGTTACAAATATTCAGGGAACAAGATGTCCTAAAGATTCTAAACAAGAATAGGGTATATTTCTATATATAAATGCTATCAACATCAAAGACTCAATAAACAAATGCACTAATCAGAAAAGGTCCATTCCTATAAATGTTCAAAGGAATTTGGTTCATGTGTGTCAGAGAACACAAATATATACACAGTTACTTTTTCCAACCCAAATTTCTTGCCTGCTTTAGCTGGATCCTTTAAGATAACTTTAAATGATTTTGTTTCATTAATGTAGAATGAGATATGAGTTCTGATCTTGGGGCTGCAGGTACTTAACCAAACTACCAAGCTATTTACAATGATGGTTTATTTGAAACAGTTCTGAGCATGAGGGTTCTTTCTTGCATCAAATGAGTAAGGACTCAAAGGGGGGAGGAAAAAGGTACTTGTCAGTTTGAAAGTCACAGACAATTTATCTTTCTATAATTAGATTAGGAGAAAAAAATGAAGAACCCACTGTAGCAGGAAGCAGCAAAGAGTCTTCTAGGGTCTTGCATCTGCAAGGAAATGAGAAAAAAAAAAAAAAAAGAGTTCTTAGTTCCTATCAATGACAAAAGCATCAACTACATCTGACAATGGGCCACACAACTACAGCCCAATTAGTCTCCTGGTCTGCTGGAAGAATCTGTTGTTGCTACTGGCAGAACACCAAGTCCTTTCTGACCCTTAGCTCTTTAGTATCACTAAGCACACAGAAACTTGTTAATTGAATTAAAAACATTCTATACAGAGATCAAAGCACACTTGTTGTGTCAACAGTTTTCACTGGTGAGGAGAAAATCAGAATTGACCATCCAGGCAATTGACTTCTGCAGACAATTCTGGATTAATTCCAATTAACTTATATTGATCTTTTTCTCTTCTCATATACCCATCTACTCATTAATTCAATAATACTTTTGAGCTGTTACAATGTACATCAGGGGAACAAAAATTAACATGGTATTACCTGCTTTTGAGGCACTTACCTAGTAAAAATTGGAGTTGTTGATAAAAACACAAATGGGATAAAGCATTTAAGTGCAAGGTGAACAAACCCTTTTCAGGCATGTGCATTAAAAAAAATTCTCCACCCACTCTTAAGTTTCTTAAGGGAATAAGTCATGTCTTCCATTTTTTTTGTGTGTGTATCTATCCAAAGAAGAGACTTCTGCAACAACAGGTATTCAAAAATTGATGCTTTATTTTTATTAAGGGGATAAGAAGGTCTTTGGCTGTTAAAGGATTCTTTTGTTGTTGTTGTTAAAGGATTCTTACCTATTTTTTTCCCTTATTCCTCAGGGGTTACATAGAAAAAAAAAATATCAGTGTATAAGGAGTTTATTAGCAAAGAGTTAAGTTCCAAAGCAGAAAAACGTTTAGTCTTAAGTGACAGAAGTTTCTCCTAGGCTTTCACCGTAGAGTAGCCATTTTTACTAGGTAACTATCCACACTCTATGAACACCAAGCATCTCATGCAGTGTGTCAGAGAAGGATTCAAAGTTCACCATTTACCCATGTCTGTGTATGCTTTCTTGACACACCCCAGTGCAGTTGTGTCTTTCCCTTCTGGGATCAAATCCAACTTTCTGGCTTCCAGATATATTCAATAATTTGATGTCAGAACCTACCAAGGAAAATGGCCAGTACCTACAAGCAACTGATAAATATTATTGTTCATAGCTAAGCGGTGTTTGCTTTTAGAATCTCTTTTCTGCTTCTTACCAGAAGAAACATCAGTTTTTGTACTAAAATGAACCCTAACTTGCAGAAGATCCATCTACTTCACTGTCCAGAGAAAGTAAATGGACTAGAAGGCAACAGGCCAATTACTCATTCATTCAATAAATATTCACTGAAGGCCTACTATCTGCAAGACAGTGGGGATTATCAACCCATTCCCAGCCCAACAATATTCCTTCTGCCAGAAGCAGTGTGGCTGAGCAGCCTCAGCCAAGACAGCATTTGAAGCATCAAACCTGGCTCTGCTATGGGTACATAGGGTGACCTCAAAGAAAGGCTTAATCTGTGAAAACTAAAAGATTTTGGACTCTTTATATAGATTTTGTGAGGTTCTGCTAAATCAAACATTCAGATAAGATCAACAGTAAGAGACTCTTAGAGACCCAAAACATTAAAGTTCTCATTCAAATGAGTATGAATTTTTTGATGAGTATTAAACTGTACTGCACAGGGGAAGAACTGCAGAGCAGTGAAGCAGAGTTGTTTGATTAATCTCAGTCCATTAAAAAGGCATGATAGATCTAGAATGCAACTTTGATAAAAAAGAAGAAAAAAGGAAACAGGCAGTGTGCACTAACATTAGGGAAAGCAACTTGGCATGTAACAGAATTCTAATTTAACTGGTAAATGCCTATTCATTAGCGTGTAAAGCCATAACAGAGGCTATATACTTAAAAACACAGGCACATACAAAGCTTTAATTTGGTACCATAATCTGAAAGAAAATTGGACCCAAATTGCTTTATGTCCAGTTAAATCTTGCTACCATCTGGAAAAAAAGTAGTGAAATAAAACTGGAATACTTACTTGAGATAGATACTCAGTTACTGTGCATTTCCATCTATGGAGTAGAAATATTTCAAAATAAATACGCCATGTCAATTGAAAATCACTCCATCCCCTATTCTTACTAAACACAAATGACTTATTCCTGGGGTATATGGAATTATAATATAAAAGTAGAAGAATTTAAAATTAGCAATTGGATTCCACTCAAGAGCACGGTAAAAGGAAATAGTCCTCTACCTATCAAGCCTTATGGCATATGATTTGGTGATCTCGTTTTTGGAGAAATGCAAGTATCCAAAGGGAAATGTTTTAAAGGGGATCCTCTGGCCATCTAAAAATTAGCTCAAACAGTAGCAAAAACTGAAATCAAGAGAATCTGAATTTGGGGGCAACATTAGGAAAAGAAAGTTTGTATTAAATAAAAATGACAGTATCTTGGGTGTACCATATGTGGGAATTTCTTTACTAGGGTGGTATGACATGAATTTCATACCTGTTTACTCAGCATGGTCTCTGAAGCCTAGAAAAGACATCTGAATACCATTCTTATGGTGGTTCTTATGACTTATTACTTTCATTTTGTCTCTACCCATTACCTTTTAGGCCCCTGCAATCCAATTTCTAATCCCAATTCCCTATCAGTATTATGCCTTGAAAATCAGGGATGATTTCCTCCTAGTCAAAATCAATAGCCTTTTTACTGGTCCCAAAATTTACCCATGGTATTCGATGTCAGTGATCACTCCATCTTGAAAATATTCTTTATGCTTCTGTGATCTTGTCCTTTCCTGCTACTAACCAGGAGTAGGGGGAAGTGAGTAAGGTGCTTGGGGTGCAAAATTTAAGGAGGCACTCACTCTCAGGGTCATGTGGGTACTAGGTGTTCAGACTGAACATGTCCTTGAATAATCAAGACCAACTGTATTTAGCACAACAAACAGAGTAAAAGCATTTTGCCTCTATTTCACTTACTGTTTTTCCATGGCAGAACATATGGCAGAGACTTGGGAACACGCATGCCTGAAGCCAGGTTACTCTTATGTTCCATAACTACGTTGCTTGCGGGGCTGCAAAAAGAAAGATGAATTTGACTATGCCAACATATCTGTATTCTTCAGGCAGGCACACACAAGACAATCAAATGCGTTTTTTGTAATTTGGGGGAAAACAACAACGTACATTCTGAAATGTAAACACATTTCCATCAAAACATTCTCACAATGAGAATGATTACCAGCTTCTCTGGAAAGCTCACTCTTCTGTACAGGCAATAAGATGAGTCTAACCATTTTCATTTTCCAGAAACTGAGATAAACAGCAATGCCATCTACTGTTCAGTTGTATGACAGACTCATGAACTCAACAGATAAAAGAGATAAAATAAAATGCCAAGACAACCAAACTAAAGGCAACAAATCTCACAGAACTGAGATAAAATTAAAATTGTACCAATGGAATTCATCTTTAAGTTTTTCTATCTCAGTGCATACACAGACTAAGATACATTTATTATAACTAACTGACTTCAGGAGCTAAAAAATAAAAATTGATAAGTGTTCTACTTGAGGAAAAAAATGAAGTCTAGCATCTAATTCCTTCATTTTCTAATCCAGAAATATTCTCATTTGGGTTTGAAACATGATCTTTTTTTTGCCACGCTGTGCAGCTTATGGGATCTTAGTTCCCCAACCAGGGATTGAACCTGTGCCCTCGTCAATGAAAGCACGGAGTCCTAACCATTGGACTGCCAGGGAATTTGAAACATGATCTTTTAAGGTTTGAAGATCAAATAGTAATGAAAAATCTTAAGAGATTTAAATTAGATACAAAATCAGTGGGAAGAAGAGATGCGTTTTCTTTCCTACCCATTTGGTATTATGGATTGCCCAATCTCAAATCAAGAACTTCTCGGCTTCCCTCGTGGCACAGTGGTTAAAAATCCACCTGCCAATGCAGGGGACACAGGTTCAAGCCCTGGTCCAGGAAGATCCCACATGCCATGGAGGAACTAAGCCCATGCGCCACAGCTACTGAGCCTGAGCTCTAGAGCCCACAAGCCACAACTACTGAGCCTGTGTGCCACAACTACTGAAGCCTGCGCGCCTAGAGCCTGTGCTCTACAACAAGAGAAGCCATTGCAATGAGAAGCCCATGCACCACAATGAAGAGTAGCCCCCGCTCGCTGCAACTAGAGAAAGCCCGCACACAGTAACAAAGACCCAACGCAGCCAAAAATAATAAATAAAATCAATTTATTTTAAAAATAGAACTTTTAAGATTACTTTTTCCTTAGACACTAGTTACCCAGAGTAAAAATGATACATGTGGTATAGCTAGAGAATTTTTTCAAAGCATTAAAATAATGTGAACTTAGCAAAAACTCCAACTAAGACATAAGAATGGCTGGTGCCACTGTCTCCCTTACTAGACTATAAGCTAGTATTTTTGTGTTCCCGTGGTAATTAACACAAAGCAGGTGACCTTTTTATGAATCAAGGAATAAATAAGGAAAAAACGCCACCCAAACTATATCTAGACTAAATTCCCACCAAGTAACATCATCAAGGAAAGAGGTCAATACATGCTCTGGTGGCTTCTATTGGTAACAGAGCAACTGTGATTCTGGGAGGAAGAGGTGGGAATGAGACCCTTTCATTTACCTGTTGTTGCCACAGTAGTTGGCTTCGCCCCAGACAAATGGGGTGCTGGTCTGTTCCCACAAATCTGCCAAAGGAAGCAAAACATGGTTTGTGGTACTACTAGGTAAAACACAATTCATGCTAGTTGAATTTGTAAGATGAGAAATAATAAACGTAAGTTTAGAGAAGCAAGTAATAACTGATTAAGTACCCGGCCTAAGTGACAGAGTAGCAAGAATTTAATTGAAGGATATAAACACAAGTGACATAAATAATAATAAATGTGCCTAGTAGCAACCAAACACAGATGGTACAACACAATTTATGGAAAAAAACAGATGTAAAGAAGTGCTTTTTCCAATCAAGAGGGATAGGCTGTTCCATGTGTCTGCACAGAGAGAAATATGTGCTTGTATTGGGGCCCAGTAAAAATAACAAGTCATTCTGAACAACATGGTATGTTCATAAAAAAGGAAAATCTTCCTTCTGTCTAAAGCAAATGACTTGAGATTTTGACATTGTGAAGAAAAAGATGTAGAAGCATTTCACCTTTATCCCAGTCTTCATTGCAAGGAGGGCACTGCCATGTGCTCTCAGCCAGAGTCTCTTGTCCAAGGTTCCTGGTTTGGCTGACTGCAAGACAATAGAGATTCTGACTTAACAAGGGAACACTGCCAAGTTATTATGTTTAAAGGGGTTAGTGGCTTGAAAGGTTGCAGGGTCTTTGTTTCTGAAAAATGGATGGGATGAAAGCTAAACAGAGAGGTCTTATCCCCTTGCCAACAGAAGACAAGAAAGAGAAGCAGAAACAAAGATGTTTGCCATATTTATGGTAATAAAAGAATTTTCATTTTTAGATGAATTATTAGAAAAATGAAATCAGGTTGTTCAGAAGAGAAAGCAGTCTGACAAACACAACCCGACAACCTTTTGCTGCTAAAATAAAAATCTCAAAGGCAGAAAACCATTGTTCTTCTGAAATGATGAAAACCAAAACCAAGGTGATAACGTAGCATCATATAAATTTGAAGGGGCTAACCTCCAACACTGAAACATTTAGCTAGTCAGTCTTACCTACATCCTGCTCAATACAGCTTTTGTCATCACAGCTTGAGATATGATGACTGATTTCGGCCCGAGGAACCTGATGGCGAGCATTGAAGGGACAAGTAGCTAGTTTGTTTGCGATGTCAGGATGATTCTGTGAAAAAAATTAAAGGGGTCCGTCAATAAACTTGTGGCTTAACTTGGTAGGTAAACTCATAGTAGAACATTAAGAGGGAATTATTTATTACTCATATGGACCATAGAGACATTACCTCAGAATCATCAAAAGCTAAGCCTCTTTGTTACGATTATAAAGACTGGCCACACAGATATTGGGGTTAAAGTCGCTTATATGGAAGTAAGCAGTGAATTTAGGATGGGATATTTGAAACATATCTTCACCCTGTTTACTTCTCAGGGTCACAAGATTCAGGCGGCACAGCCTGTAATGGTAGAGCTCTCTGGACATCTTTGAAAGCTGATATTCAGGATGAACAGCAACACTAAAACACACTTAGTCTGCACTGCAGTAGTGCCCCTGCTACTGCAGTACAATAGTGCAGGAAAACAGCTGTTGGAAGGGAGCTGCAGAAGAGGCAAACCCAATGATTTTTCAGATTAACACAGGAACGCTTATTTAAAGTAATGATGCCTGAAATGAGGCTCTGAACAATTTGACCTTTATTTCAGCTATTTCACTAAGGAAAAGCCCAAATGATAGAGAACTCTGCTGACCAAGTTCTTTATTTTAATACAAAACAAGAAAACAAAACAAAATGTTTAATATCACCCAAATCCTATGGTAAGTTTACCAGCAATTAAGAAATTTATTAGGAGAAGCAAAAGATATATCATAAATGATACTCAAAAAAGTAAAAATAATGTAAAGTGGGGAGAAGGGTGGAAAAATATAAGGGATGGAGAAAATTGTGAGGGCAGGTATCTCCATGATTTTTGTAAGGGATATCAGGCATTCGAATGCAAAGGTTTTGTAGCTGAAGATTAAGAGCATTAGAATAGGGGAGTTACGACAATGTCTTCTTACCACTTGGACCCCTTTCCCAACCTTTATCCTTGGAACATTTTTGAGAGCCTAGGGGAGGAAGTTGTGGTACTATTTGCTAGTCCATATTGCCCAGGTTCAACCTTAAGGAATCCTTGCTCTAGAGATTAAAAGGAGCTGAGAAATAATCAACAATGGCATTATAATCATGTCTCCAGGACTGCAAGAGAAACATCCTTTGAAGAATGTTAATGCATACTTGAATTGTATGCAGGTTTAGATTAAATACTAAAATTGTTTTCCAAGCATAAATCCTGGCAGAACTTTGGCCTCTGTATCTGACATCTATATTCTAACAATCCTTTCAAACTGCCTCAATTAATATATCAGCATTAAACTAGCTTACATCAGCTAAGTCTACAAAAGGGTGACCAGAGGAAAAAAAAAAATCTTTGAGCTGGTTTTTTTTCCCCCAAAGATGCTTACTGTTGAAACTTGGAGAAAGTTATTTTTAGGAATGATCTTTTCTTGGGTTAACCTCTAGCTGTTCAACTTCTCTAAAATTTCTAAACAAACAAATAAAAAAATCAGAAATAAGTGTATTACAATACTCAATCCTTATCAGGACAATGAACACATCAAATTCACAAGGCAAGAGGGATTTCTCACTGCTAGCAAAAATTAGTGTTTCCTCTGTTTTACAAAGGCTGCGAAGATTCTAGAGAAGCTGTTTATGAAGGGTGCTCTGTCACTAGTGGGGGGAAAAACCAAAACAAGAAAAAACGTACATATCCAAGAAATAACCAAATTCTTTTCTATAAATATTGGTATTTAACCCAAAGCAATTCTGGCATTCAGTTAAAACATTTATGCTGAAATTATTTGATATTTACAAAATTTGGCTTTTAAAAAGAACTCAGGAGGGCATCACAGGGCAAATTAAGAAAATAATACCCTACCTTTCTGCACTTGATAAGATGATAAGGAAACCTGCAGGCCCTGATCTGGTGGTTTTTATCATAGGGGCATTGTAACAGCTTTTCAGGGTCCAGGGTATCGACTGAAAGAGAGAAAAATAGGGTAAGTATAAAGCTTAACAGGCCCTTGTAAAACCTCAGCATCCCCGGCACACTGGATTTTTTCAACAGAATCTGTAAGACAGTCTAATGACGGCTTGGAATTTTATTTTTTAAAAGGGTGACTAAACATCTGAAAATAAAAATGTAACTGTGAGAAGATAAAACTGTGTTATCATCGAATCTTCATTAAGTCCAGCAAAACTGGCAGTCATGGGGTGGGGTCTTGGTTCAGATTTGGTTGTACATGAATATTGTTGTTTTCATTGTTGGTTACCCTTATTATAAACAAAAAAATTAAATGAAACATCTTTTCCTTTTCTAAAAGTGCTAATTCAGTGTCATAGGACTTGCGTGGTGGCACAGTGGTTAAGAGTCTGTCTGCTGGTGCAGAGGACACGGGTTCGAGCCCTGGTCCGGGAAGATCCCATGTGCCGCAGAGCAACTAAGCCTGTGCACCACAACTACCGAACCTGCGCTCTAGAGCCCGCGAGCCACAACTACTGAGCCTGCATGCCCAAACTACTGAAGCCCACGTGCTCTAGGGCCTGTGTGCCGCAACTACTGAGCCCGTGTGCTGCAATTACTGAAGCCCGTGTGCCTAGAGTCCGTGCTCCGCAACGAGAAGCCACCACAATGAGAAGCACATGCACCACAACAAAGAGTAGCCCCCGCTCGCCACAACTAGAGAAAGCCCACACGCAGCAATGAAGACCCAATGCAGCCAAAAAGAAAAAAAAGTGCTAATTCAGGGTCATTTTTATCTCTAGCTAGTTCAACCAGAGCTTCCCAGCCAGTATGTTGAAGGCTGGAACGGACAGTGTACTGATACACTGCCGTGGGGGTCCATTGCATGCGTGTCCCCTATTCCCCAACCAGTCCTAGGGTAAGTTGAGGGTAGTTAATCCCCTACAGTAGCATCCCTGTTTACTAGTATGCTATGACATGAAAAAAGTTGGTAAGCATTGCTCTATATCAGTTATACGTTCTATGGAAGCTTGAGAAATATTCATTTATAGATTTCTTTTTCGTCTGTCTGCTTTAATGTACTTCTGTAAGTAGTTCCTGATCTTGGTCAATCTAGTTACCTCTCAAATGAAACCAATACCTTTACCAGATCGGTGGTTTTACTTTTCATATTTTGGAACATAAAGAAAGACAGAGAATTCTTTAACCTAGTGATTATCAAACTGGCCAGATAAAAAGGCAGAATAATCTGCAAAAAGAGAACCTGAAGTTATTAAGACAACTGCAGATACCTTAACGGGGCTGCTGTGTGAAAGAAAGCCCCTAACCTACATCACGCTATTTAAAAGTACGCTTAGAAGACTATACTTTTAGGGACCATTTCAATAGTTTGAATAGAAACTAGAGAAGTTTCTCTGAACGTGTACAACTATCCTTATGTTCTGCAAAATGTCCAGGCTGAGCCCCCAATTTTAAGAAGCCTGGTTAAAGAAGGGAAATTAAATGGTTAAGCACATTCTGAATATATTATGAGGACAAGAGGGAACCTAATAAAATGCTGTTGCCATCACTGAAGGCAATAATAAAAGTGAAATAAGATAAACAACTCACATTTGATAAGAAGCTTATAAACCAGGAGACTGCTATGAAAATCAGAAGCTAGTGGGGAATTGAAACAGACAGCTTCACTGGAAGAGTGGTAAACATGGGATAAATTGCTAACCATGATCGTGATGCAAATGAGCCAGAAAGGTGACTTGAAGGACAGAATGAATAGGAACGAAAAGTCTTAAAGGACAAGCAGGCTTATTATGCCAGCCAGGCTCATCCTGACCAGCAATCTTTTCATATTTCTGAAGCTTCAGGACACCCAGGAAGAGTGTACAGATGAAATTCTTGTTAGTTTTCCTTCATTTAATCCATTTCATCACTAGCAAATGATAGACCATATCAGCAGCTGACAGAGACTGTACGTACTTTATGATTCATACACATTTTACTGCCCATACAGTGGTATTCATCAGAGTTGATAATGATAGCTTCCTACCAAAATGCTTTACTTTTTGGTCTCTGATAACTTAGGTCAGCTCTAAACTGTTTTGTTTTGTTTTTTTTGCAGTACGCGGGTCTCTCACTATTGTGGCCTCTCCCGTTGCGGAGCACAGGCTCCGGACGCGCAGGCTCAGCGGCCACGGTTCACGGGCCCAGCCGCTCCACTGCATGTGGGATCTTCCTGGACCGGGGCACGAACCCATGTCCCCTGCATCGGCAGGTGGACTCTCAACCACTGCGCCACCAGGGAAGCCCTAAACTGGTTTTTTAGATTAAAATTTTTTTAATTTTATTTTTAATTAAAAATTTTTAATGGTAATAAGATACACATAAAATTTATCATCTTAACCATTTTAAAGTATACAGTTCAGTGGTGTTAAGTATATTCACATTGTTGTGCAACTGACCTCCAGAAATTTTCATCTTGCAAAACTGAAACTCTATACCCATTAAATAACTCCCATTTCCTCCTCCCTGTAAACCCTGGCAACCACTATTCTACTTTTTGTTTCTATCAGTTTCACTATTCTAGATACTTCATATATGTGAAATCATATGGCATTTGTCTTTTTGTGACTGATTTGTTTCACTTCCCACAATGTCCTCAAAGTTCATCCAGAGTATAGCCTGTGACAAGATTTCCTGTACCTATTTTGCTATTTGCTTTCTTTTAACTTAACATATCTTTGAACTCCTTCTATGTCAGTATGTTAAGAAATGTTTCACTGCTGCATACGGATGTACCATAGATTCTTAACCAGTTCCCTTACAGATAGACATTTAAATTGTTTCCAGTGTTTTACTATTATATACAATGCTGTGACTAGCAATATAACATATACTTCTTTGGGCATTGTACGAGTATTTCCCTTGGGCAGATACCTAAGAGTGCTACACGAAGTATACATGCATTTAAAGTTGTAATAAATACTATCGAACTGCTCAGCAAAAATCTTGAGTGGCTTTCTGGGAATATAACTTAATTTGGAAAACATAGCAGGCCCTGTGGACAACCTTCTTCCAAGAGCATAGACTCAGATGTTCCTCACACTTGCATAGAGCCCAGAACCCATGGTGAGAAATGGAGGAAACTTCACAGAAATAAGGAACTAGACTTGATGAGAGTATCATCAGCTAAGAAGCACTGCCCAAAGACAGAAGCTGGAGATCTTCAGGAATCTATCAGATTAACGTTAGAGTTTTAGGTCACTTTGGGAAAAAGGTCAAACATATTCTAAAGCACTGTTTCTCACTTTAACATGATTCCCGGTGTTAAATCACTTGGGGACTGTGTTAAAATACAGATTCTGATTCAGCAGGTTTGAGATGAGGCCTGAGGTTGTGCATTTCTAACCTACTTCCAGGTGATATTTTTCTTTTTTTTAAGTCTTAAAACAATGAAGCTTTATTAAGAAAGACATAGATAAAGAAATGCTATAGCCTTAAAGGAGTTGATTCTTCACAAGCCAACTTATTTATTTATTAAACTTAATCACAAAACTTAAATAAAATTGTAAACATACAGCAAAATTCACCATTTCCTTCTTTCTTTAACAAACATCTACTGATTGTCACTACATAAAAAAGTTTGTTATGTAGCAATACAGTAATTAAAAGAACCAGGTGATATTTTTCTAAGAAAAAAAAAATCACCACTGACAAAAGTAATGAATAGAGATATAATAGAGATAGAGATGTTGCTTTCTAATTTAATAGAGTAGTAAGCTTCCAAGAATAAATAAATATAAATCTCTCATATCTATCTCACATGGAAATCTCAGATTTTAATTAACACATTTTTAGAAAAATTAAGGGGGTGAAGGAGGAAGCCCTAAGGAAGATCAAGGAGAATCAGATCCATTATTCTCAAAGTATGGTCCTCAGAATAGCATCATCACCTGGGAACATGTTAGAAATGCAAATTCTTGGGTCCCAGATCTTCTGAATCAAAAATTTCGGGGGTGGGGTCCAGCAACCTGTGTTTTAACAAGCCTCCCAGGTGATTCTGCTGCATGCTAAAGTTTAAGAATCTCTACTGTAGATATTTAATAAAGATTGTTTCCATGTAGTTTCTACATCTTGGTGATAAAGATTCTATTGGACTCTTCCTAGAAGGTAGAATGGGACTAAAATACCCTTTAGTTAGAACTTATTAATTATAGAGATTCTGAACAAGACAGAAAGTAGGAAACAAAGGAGGCCTTGTTGACAAGTTTCGTCCACTCAGATGTTCCTCAAACTTGGTCAGGGTCTAGAAACCACAGTGCTTTGTAGTAGCAAGTAGGGCACTACATATAAACAACATATAAGACTCTGGTTCTGACTCTGTCCCCAACTAACTATGTAACCTTAGGGCAAATCAATTAATCTAGGTTCTGTTTTCTCAGTTGCAAAATTCGAATGTTGAATGAAATGATTTTTCAGGTCTCTTTTGGTGCTACACTTGTATGATCCTAGGTCTCCTGGTTCCCATTTGATCTGTTGGGCCATCTAGATTCCTGGATCACTTGAGAAACAAGAATCCTCCCTAGGATTTCTTTAAGTCTAAAAATTCAGTGTACATCAACATTATGTATATCATATTATCCCACAAAATAGAAAGAAACCAGTTAGTTAGTTAATGACTATCCCTGTGTCATTAACAGGAGAAATTGAAGTCCTGAGGAATGAAAATGCTTCATTTAATAAAAATATAGTTTAACACAGGTGTCCCAACCACAGCTTTCTCAAAGCCTGATGACTTCTCATACTGCTTTATTTAAATTTCAGGTGTCATATTTCAAATTTGGACATTTCTCTACATTACTAAAACAGTCTCTGGGGAGACATTTTCTTCTCAGCAGTCTAGTGAGAAAAGTGAATCTTTCCCAACACAATAAAAGTCTTGTCAGACAGAAAACTACATGTAAGTAATTTAACTTATTTTCTAAAAGCAAAAAGAAGTACGTACCGTAAGTTTCTTCCATGTTGGAAATGAAGGAGCCAAATCCAAGTGCTGGTGGGGGGGGGGGGAAAGCAGTGGATCAGGGAATCAGAAATGAAATGTATCAAAAGTAGCCCTAAGAAGTGGAGTCAAACTTGGATTCAAACTAGAATTGAAGTCACCCAAGTTCAATATAAAAAACCCTTATAGCACCTCCCTCCCCCTCAATAAGTTTCTCCCCTTGAAGGCATTCTTTACTACTTTGAACCATTTTAACAACATTTGCCCAATTCACACTCTTGGAATAAATTCTAGGGCTCACAGTTAAGAAAAACCAAATATGACTACTAACTTAAACTGTATTCAGGTGATAAGATGTCAGTCTATTTTAAGTGCCATTACAACACCCTGTCACTGTTTACCATCTATTAGCGTTCGATGCTATTTAACATTAGAGGGGCCAAGTCAAGCCCACAAGAATACTGTTACTTAAACTTCAGGATAAACAAAGGAAAAGGGTACTATGTTAAAGCTCTCCTCTTAAGTCGTCAAAAATACAGGATGGGCAGGCTGCCAGTCTTACTTCTCCCCCGGGGACCTGGGGATGCTGGAAGCCTGTGTCAGACTATACACTCAATCCATCCAATATGTCTAGAGACATTCTAGCTTACTATTTCTATGACTTTTCTTAAACATGATTAGGAAGTACCATACTTTTTCCAGTGATGCTTTACCCCCCTCCCCAAATCTCCTATGCTAAAATGGATAGACTTGGTTATTTAAATCTCTCCAGTTAATACTCATTCCCTCTATGCATTGAGGACAAACTTCTGAATGTTAGGACTCGAGAACTGTCCATTTTATAGTTGACAGTCATAAAGGAACAAGTCTGTAACAGAAATGTGGAAGATTTTAAAAGACAACTTTTTTTTTAGTTTCAGTCCTCTTCCACCTTACATTCCCCCCTGTTGAGCTCTGTGATTAAATAAACTTATCATTATAGAAAAGGCTAAATTTATATAAAACCATCTCCATAGGAAACTTCTGAAAACTGTCTAGGTTTACATCTATTGCCTCTAGAGCCAGCTCTCCTTTGCCACCTCATACAATTCCACACCCCTTCCCTCCATTCTATGACATAAGCAGCCTTGGAACCTATGATAGGAAATACAAGGGATCAGCTGGAACTCGTTCAGTAATTTGCTGCAGAGCTCATTTGTAAATGACAATCATTGGTGAAACTGTCATAAAATATATTTTTCATGGCTGGATTAAGAAATTCTGACATTCCTTTTGACATGTTACACATAGTTACTTTATACTTTTTCAACAACAACAAAAAAGAGAATTGGAAGAAAGAATCAAGCACTATGTTCCTTGATTTTAAGTCATTTAAAGGAGCGATCAGTGCCAGATTCAGCAACTTGTAGGGAGCCACCCTATCCTTTGGGGGCAAAAAGACTAAATTACACAAGATTAAGGGCACTGGAATCTATAGCCTCATCATTCAGCCCTGTCCATCTAAGTATCTTCCGTATTAAACTGTTAAAAAGTGAGTCTTTTACTTTTTCCCTAGTACTAGACAGCGGTGTAATGGACAAATGACACTCAGCAGTCAAGCTTGGGGGCTGGTTGCAGCCTGAAGCAACTGGTTACACTCTTAACTGAGCTGGAGTCTCGGTAAAACCATCATTTTTCTTCCTTTAAACAAAACAGAGTCGATTTAAACAATGGGACTAAATAAGAGAAGGTGGAGAAGATGGTTAACTTAAAAGAATGGAGACACAGGAGCTAGGGAGGACCTCGAGGGGACGAAGCAGCGGCGGCACCACAGGATGCCAAAACAGCCGCGCTGAGAACCCACGAGGCCGAAAGCTCTGGGCAGAAAAGGGAAGATACTAGAAGGTGAAGGTATCCCAGCCCACTAAAGGTGAGGTCTTTGGAGGCCCCAAGCCGGGGCCCGCGCGTCATTCCTACCTCAGCCGAGTCACACTCCCGCTCACACTCGCCTTCACCCCACAACCGCGCCCAGCAACGCTCACTTCCGGCCCCTGACGTTAGGGGGGTGGGGCCCCCACTTCCGGTGACGGAGGCTGGAGTCTGACCGAGCGAGGCGCGGGCTGTGCCGAGGGACTCCTCGGCTCTCCCACCTCTGCCCCACACCTCGGGCCGTCGTCCTCTGGCCCCCGGAATGACCGTGGCCTTGCGTGGGTGGAACTTGCGCTGCCCTGCCGGGCTCTGGGTGTGGCCATCTTAGAAAGGAGAACGAGTGCTGAGACGTGGGCGCTCGAGGAGGGGCGGGACTCGTTAGGGGTCGATCGATGGATACTGGTGAGAACGAAGCCTTGTTTGTGGAAGTTGTCCAGAGAGAAAGATAATTTAGATTTTGACTGGAAGGAAGAGGAAAATTGAAAAGGAGATAAGCAGACACAACAGGCCTCTCTCCCCCCCACCCCAACCCCCCAAAACGAATCACCAAGTACAGGAATCTAGTTGTTTTTGTTTAGCACGTGTTTTAGGTAGAATTTCAAACCTCAAAAGTTGATAATGGTTTACCTGAGAATGCGTGGTAGGATGGATGCCCTAGTCAGATTAAAGCGATTTTTAGAGTTGAGGAGAGAGCTCGAGGTAAAAAGGGCCAGAAAGTTATAATTTGATAGTGGAAAACGAAACATATACTGTGAGCCTTTGTTCTGGAAACTGTGATACCCCCCCCAAAAAAAGGTGCAAGGGATGGTTCTTGCCTCCAAGGTGCTAGGAAAATAGGCCCCAAAGTGAAAGGTTAAATGGTAGTGTAACAGATGCCAAAAAAGTTGTTGAGACTGTAAATTCATATTAGGAGGAAATCAGTGGGGCCCAGAGTCACCTGGGGAAGGCTTTGAGAAAAAGGACGTGTGGCCTTTGAAGATTAGACAGAAAAAAGGAAGAGATTGACACTACAGGTAGATCTGGTAATAATAGTTTTCAAAACCAAGAAGTAAAAGATGTGATATGACAAATTTTTGTATTGCCCAAGGTAGGCAGTCTGGGAGCTCAGTCTGGGTGCTGAAATATTGGGGGTTTTAGAACATTTCAGTGGTTTCTGGAGCCTAAATATGATTTAGGAGAACTGAACCTGACAGCACGAACTTAATGTGGCTTCAGTGAAAAGGGTCGTGGGACATTTTATCTTTACATGAATAATATGTAAACATTGTTATTGGGGTTTTTTGTTTTTCTTCGTCCGCACCACGCAGCTTGCAGGATCTTAGTTTCCTGCCCGGGGATGGAACCCAAGCACCCTGCACTGGAAACGCAGAGTCTTGACCACTGGGACCGCCAGGGAAGTCCTGTTTTTTGTTTAATTATCATCCCTTGGGCTGAATAGAGTGTGCTTCACAGCCTTTGGTTCATATTAAGACCCTAAAAAGAAATGTGTTGATGCAAGCAGAGCCCAAGCCTGCTTGTTGCAGGCTACTGTTTTTTTTTTTTTTAAATAAATTTATTTATTTTTGGCTGCATTGGGTCTTAATTGCTGCACGCAGGCTTTAGTGGCGTCAAGCGGGGTATACTCTTCTTTGCAGTGCATGGCCTTTGTCATTGCAGTGACTTCTCTTGTTGTGGAGCACGGGCTCTAGGCACGCGGGTTTCAGTAGTTGTGGCACGTGGGCTCTAGAGTACAGGCTCAGTAGTTGTGGCACACAGGCTTAGTTACTCCGTGGCATGTGGGATGTTCCCAGACCAGGGCTCGAACCCATGTCCCCTGCATTGGCAGGCGGATTGTTAACCACTGTGCCACCAGGGAAGCCCAGCTACTGGATAATCTTTTAGAAATTCCTTGCCAATGTGATTGAAAATGCTTATTTACTTCTCTAACGTTAGTGAGTTGATTTGTGTTAAATATGTTTACGTTCTTTTTTCAAGTTTCCTACTGACATTTTAAAATTGATATTATGAAATTTCATATATGTAAAAATATGTCAAACAATATATACATATCTTTAATGTTAAAAACATAAGTTCTTTGGCGTATTTATTACCAATGCATTTCCCAATTTGTCATAAGCTCTTCAATTAGTATGCTTTGTGATATAAAAAATTCAAAAATTTTATTCAGTCAATTCAATCTTCTTTTGTAATTGCTTTTATTGTTTAAATGATCCTCCCACCAGAGACCAGATGATTATTCCAGATTGTTTTTTAAAAGATTCTAGTTTGCATATTCTGGAAGTTTGAAGTATTATTGTTGTTGTTATTGTATTTTATTTATAAATTTATTTATTTATTTTTGGTTACGTTGGGTCTTCATTGCTGTGTGTGAGCTTTCTCTGGTTGCTGTGAGCCGGGGGTGCTCTTCGTTGCGTTGCATGGTCTCCTCGTTGCGGTGGCTTCTCTTGTTGCAGAGCATGGGCTCTAGGGGGGTGGGCTTCAGTAGTTGGGGCACATGGGCTTAGTAGTTGTGGCTCATGGGCTCTAGAGCGCAGGCTCAGTAGTTGTGGCTCACGGGCTTAGTGGCTCCACGGCATGTGGGATCTTCCTGGACCAGGGCTCGAACCCGTGTCCCCTGCACTGGCAGGCGGATTCTTAACCACTGTGCCACCAGGGAAGCCCGATTTTTCAGGCTTTAAATTGAGGTAATCTGGTGAAATTGTTGACACTGTTTCTGTGACCCATCTGAACTTTTCATTCAGATACCTGCAGGTTGAAATTTCTGGGGAAGAAAGAGCTAAGAGCTTGAGAGGACAGGGAGTGGGTACCAAACCAGAATCCAAAGTCAGGCTTCAGTGCATTCAGTAATGCCTTGTCAGGGTGACAGGATCCTCAACTGATAAAGTCGTTCCATTTAGCACCAGTGAATGAGCCCACTGACTTTCAAACAAACAAAAGAACCAAACCTGTCTTTCAGTGGTGGAGATATTAAAATAAAAATGCATCACACATCTATTCTTTCTTTTCTTAAATGCTTTGTTCATATTCCTTTCCAACCCAGAAAGTTCCTGCTTTATCTGATATCCCTGCTGAGCTTTCTTTCAGACTGATATTCCAGCCAGGTTGAATGTATTTGAAAAGGAAAAAAAAAAAAAAAAAAAAGAGAGACCAAGGCATTTACACAGGGTCATTCTAAGAGCTAGTTGGGATTAATACCCTAAACTGAATCTGATCTTTGCTGGTTCTATCTCTGGATATGCTTGCATTTATCCCTAAATTATAAATTATATTTTTAGAGTTATTAGTTAAAAATAAAGATTGAACTAATGAGTAAAGAGACATCTGTATGCTAATGACTGAAAAAAAAACCCCAACTTTGTTAGAAGATGAGTTTTCTCAGTTTTTAGGACTGAAGGAATCCCAGTATTTCAGATTCTTTAGAGATTTTCAGTGTTTCAGAAAGCCTGATAAAACTTAAACTTTTGCCCATCAGAAGACTAAAACATTAAATTACTTTGTTTTTGGCTTAAATTTTATCAACTAAGTCCTGGTTCCCTCATCTAATTATGATTTCTGATTGGTTGTTAAGTGTATAATTTAAAATAGGAAAATTATTCAATAAATGCAGTTGCAAAATATTTCAAAAAGAGATCTATGGGGGAACATAATAGATGTTCTTATTGGTGAGGTTAGATTGGGAAGTATTGCTGTAGAGCAGGGTGAGGAGTTGGGGCTGGTTACAATTTTTCAGGCAAAGTAGCAGGGAGAGGTGTTCCCACCAGGGAGCCATTGAAACTAAATTTATGTTTAAAAAAGGGTCAGTAATGGGAGTTTGCCAAGAATAGCCAGCAACCCCCACCACAAACACAGGATGATACAGGATAAATGAAAAACCAGTAGTGGGGCCTCCCTGGTGGTGCAGTGGTTGAGAGTCCGCCTGCCGATGCAGGGGACACGAGTTCGTGGCCCGGTCCAGGAGGATCCCGCATGCCGCGGAGCGGCTGGGCCCGTGAGCCATGGCCGCTGAGCCTACGCATCCGGAGCCTGTGCTCCGCAACGGGAGAGGCCACAACAGTGAGGGGCCCACGTACCGCAAAAAACCAAACAAACCAGTAGTGACTTTTTAATTTTTGTCTTTAAATTCATTCTGTGTCCTAATATGTAAATATTATATAGCTGTGTAATCCACATTGCCTGTAATAGTTGCCAGTGTATTTGAGCAATCTGTTCTCTGTGTTTTTCCTTGACTTCTAGGTAATTGCTTTCCCTGGGACTCAGCAACAAATAGCCCCTCATGCCCTTACTGGTGCTGGCATCTAAGATGTAAATTGTAAGTCCAAGTTTGCAAACCATTGTTAGTATCGCTTTGGCAAGGCTTAATGAATAGATAGGTAAGAAAATGGAAACTTCTTAAAAGTTTGTTGAAAAGATGGTAGGATGGCAGAATTACGCTAAGGAAATTTTACCTTCTAAAAATTGTGTAAAGGGCTAGTCTTGTATGGAACAGTTCTAAAATTCCAATAATACTATTCTTCTGATGTTATTTTAAGGAATGTCAAATGTTTAAACCCAAGGGTCATTTTCTTTTTGAAGCCTTCTCCTAACCTCTGCCTAGGATTAAGTTCTTATGTTTTCTTATAACCTCCTTTCCTCCCAGCACTTAAACTGCGTGTCATACCAGTTGTTCTCAGGGTGTGATCTCTAGACCAGCAACATCAGCGTCACTTGGGAACATGAGAAAAATGCAGATTCTTGGGCCTTACTACTGAATCAGAAACTCAGGGGTGAGATGCCCTACAATCTTTGTTTTAATAAGCCCTCCAAGTGATTTTGATACCCACTGAAGTTTGAGAACTGTTGCCTTATATTAACTATAGTTGTCAACATTGTTCCCTCATAATGGATGGAACCCACTCTAGTTCTTTTTTTAAAAAATAAATGTATTTATTTTTATTTATTTTTGGCTGCATTGGGTCTTTCTCTAGTTGTGGCGAGCAGGGGCTTCTCATTGTGGTGGCTTCTCTTGTTGCGGAGCACAGCCTCTAGGTCCGCAGGCTTCATTAGTTGTGGCACGTGGGCTCAGTAGTTGTGACTCGCAGGCTCAGTAGTTGTGGCACACAGGCTTAGTTGCTCTGCAGCATGTGGGATCTTCCCGGACCAGGGCTCAAACCCGTGTCCCCTGCGTTGGCAGGTGGATTCTTAACCACTGTGCCGCCAGAGAAGCCCCTACTATAGTTCTTAACATAGTGTCCCAAACTTAGTAGATACTTGATTATTTGACTTGAGAGCACAGGTATATTTTGTCAGGGGCTGCAGCAACTGTAAGACATCATCTGTCTTGTAAGAGAATACGTGGGAAGAAGAGGCTAAAATATTTGAGGTTGTTTTCTTTCTCTTTTTTATACCACAGCTGCTTGGAAAGCCTGAACAAAAAGGCCCATAAAGTATGGACCAACAAAAGGATAAAAGATGCGGAACCAATGAGATATGTTTTGGTACGTATCTAGGACATGAGTAATGGGCCTTAGCAATTTTTCTCCCATAGTTCATACTGTGAATGTAAGAGTAGAAACCCTAAAACCCGATTTTAGGGACGAAACTTTATAGCCAGAAAGTCTTATTACTGTTACAAAAACATAATTTAAATCACCTTGATAGAACTTTTCTGTGAAGATGAGTGAACCTGGTTACCAAGGGTTTTGAAAGGTTGATTTTTTTTCAGTATAAATATTTAGCCCAGATTACTGAATCTCCATTTACTACACCATGGGTATAAAGTATAGATTCTCCACATTCAGCAGCTTTGATTTTGTATGGGCGTAGGACTAGTACATAGTAAGATCATGCCTATCCTAAAGCATATTATAGTTTAATAGTAATAAATCAGAATGAAAGGAGGTTAAAAGGATACATAAGCCACCTGTTACGGGAGCCTGGGGGAATAGTTAGGACTTTGGGGAGTCTAGGCAAGCTTTGAGGCAATTATTTTTAAACTTTGCTTTTTTTAAAAAGTATTTTTCCATAAGTTAATTTGGTCTTTTTGAAGCTTTGACCAAACGTTATGTTAGAAACCAAAAAAAGTTATTCTATTGTGCTTTTATCCAAGGGACTCAAAACCTCTTAAAGCAAGATTTGAGTAAATCTGGCACCCATGTTTTGAATGATACAACGGCCTAATAAGTGATGACTTATTAGGGTAGTTGACTCGGTTTGTCTGGCTGTTATGCCAGGATGATTATTGTTCCCCCTTTCAAGCTCAAGAGTATCCTGGTTTGGAGGAAAAATTATATGGTCCCCCAGTTAAGACTGCATGCTCTTTTAGGGGAAGATGCCATATAGCTAAAATATGATAAAGGAAGACAGTTTTATCTTTCAGGGCCATTTTTCCTGGGAAACAACCTTTTGTTTTCATATAGTCTGGTGTTAATATACCAAAGTATAATTTAAAAAATTCAAAATATGTGTAAGGTCTTAGTCAAGAGATAAAAGGAAATCTTGTTTATATTCTGTAAAGCTAAGTGAGAAAGTCAGTAGCCCCAACCCCCTCCACTTTGTACCAAATATACTGGAATGTACTAGATGCTAAAAGTGTCTAGTGTTCTCCCTTCTATTTTAGCGGAAGAAAAAAAAAAGATCATTTGAAAAGGATCTAGAAAATACTTAGGTAGGGATAGGACTCCTAAGGGCATAAAATATCCATTTGACTAAAACTTCTTTAAGTCTAAATATACCTGGACTAGGCAGTAAACTAGCAAAACCCCAAACTCATTATTTTAAAAGGATTAGCTAGCTGCAATAAAAATTACAGGTTAAGAGGAACTAATTTTGGCCTGTTTTAAATTGGGTCTTGGTTCAGTTTAAGCACCAAGTATTTGAATATCTCCTAGATGCACAGCACAAGGCTAATGAGGTAGCAAATATAAAGCAGTATGTGATTCTGCCTTCCTTCACGAAGGTTTGTGGTTTGGTTGAGGTCGGAGACAGGGAAGGTTTAAATGAGGTAAGGATTAAGAATTGGACTTAAAAAAAGCTAGAACAGGGATTTGAATAGTTGAAGGGCAAGGGGTGACATTTTGAAACAAACCGAGTGAAAAAGAATAAAACATATTTAACATGGGTGTAAACTGGCTTCTGCAGAGTTAGGAAGGTAGATTTGGAGCCATGTTTCAAACTCAGCTTGTCATAAAAACTATATCCTTTAAGCATGGAAGATTCGTATGGAGAATTGATTGAAGAAGGTTGATATGATGGTCATATAGTAAATGACTTGGAGGTAGGAGAAAAAGGTTGGGGGATAAAGAACCTAACTAAGGAATAGCAGTATAGACCACATGGTGACTGTATTTCCCCTACAAAGAGAAATAGGCAAACCAGCCCTCCAGCCCTTTGGTTGAAAAATGAGGATATGACAACAAGGAAGAATAAAAAACCAAAGGAAGCTTGTCATAGGAAAAATACTCTTCATTTAAATAAATAAAAACATGTTAAGATGCCAACAGTGACAATAGTTGTTACCTAAAACTTGACAGTAAAGATTTCCCCAAAGTTTTAAAAAAAGACTTAATAAATCTTCCATCTACTGGCTCTTTAACCTACAACTTCCCCATCAGTTCTTCTGACCTAAGGATAGAAAGAGAACATTGAGGCAGTGCCATTTTAATTGCAAGCGTTTTTATGGAAGACCTAAGCTTGATGTGCGTTAATAGCATTTCAAATAGAGTTCTAGACAGCTCTTTCTCCAGTCTGATTTAAAGCCATCAGGACTTTCCCTGCATTCTATTGTGAGAGGAAGAGGACTTTGAATAGAAAACGTTTATTTATTTTTTTTTTTGAAAGTGTTTATTTTTAAAGAAGAAAAGCTTGTCTAAGAATCTTTGAAGATTTAGAATACGATGTTAGTGATATTAGTTAAAACTATGTTAATATATATTAAAACTGTGATGTTATAAAAGTTATTCTACCTTTTCTCCAGGACTTATGGTTGTTAGGATGTTTATCATCCATAGTCTCTTTTTTTATGTCTCTTGAATCGCTGTAGAAGATGACCAAAGGAGGAAAGTTAGCTGGAAATCAGAACTAGAGAATTAGTCTAGATAACCAGTTCTAGGAGATTAGAGTTACTTTAACAAAAATAGTTGATGCTACTACATGTCAGGGTAGGAGTTACTGGTTTTGTGCTAGCATCTGTTTTATATAGTTCCTTTGCACCTTCCCTCCCCACTGTGTATCCAGTGGGTAGCTCCACTGAGGGCTCCTCTAGCTCTTGGCTGTGCCCTTGAAGTTTGTGTGGTTGGGGATCCTGCTCATGTATAGTATACTAGCTCTTTCTCCTTTGTAGCTTTAGGAATTGGGGTTTTTTTTCCTTGAAAATCTTACACAGAATTGAGAACCTTGTGTAATCAAGTCCTTGATGGATTAAAGTCCTAAGTGGAGCCTTAGGAAAGGAATGGAAATACTCAGAACCCATGAATACAGCTCTTTTAAAATTTGTAATTGAAGCTTAGGCATCTGCCATGCCTATGATCTAGTGGCCATTCTCCTAAGGTATTAAAGGTATTCCACTCTCTATTCCAATAACTTCTATAGGATGATTTATCTTACCTTTCACAAACCAGCATTTTTGGAGCAAATGTCTTAAGGACAAATGAAGGAGAATGATGTGTGTTATCTAGAAAGAAAGAAATCAGGATGAAGTAACACAAGTACTAAGCATTTTTACATTATTGCAGAGAAGGCTAGCTGGCAGGAGATTTGAGTCTCCCTTCCATAGCTGTTGCTGGGAAGTGACTGCTCTGCCTGGGCCTACATTTCTGCCTCCCTGACATAGGTATGGTCTTGTTACTAGTTTTTGCCAATGGGATGTGAGTAGAAATATTCTCTTCTGGGCTGAGGTGGTTATGAGGTAGCTGTACTTTGTCCATTCTCTTTTTGTGGCAGCTTGGGAAGCCAGGTGTGGGAGGTGACAGTCAAAAGTCAAAGAGCCTCTGTTCTTGAATCACCACTCCTACCAAATACTTGCACTGGATTGTATACAAGGGAACTTCTGTTGTGTTAAATCATGACATTTAACACAGTTTGGACTTTATCTGTTAAAGGGGCTTGCATTGCTCTAACACATACATACATCTTTATTTAATATTAATCTACCTTATGAGGTAGATATTATTCCTTTTATGGATGAGGAAGATGTGTTTGAGAAGTAACTTTCCTTGAGGCCAGAGCAGATAGTTGAACCTAGATCTGACTGAAAAGCTAGTGAATTCTCCAATATAACATGCTGCATCTTAGAGAAAGGATATCACTTGAGATAGGATAGATCCTAACCTTTCAGATTACAAGTAAAAAATTACTTCTATGGAAAGTGACTGGGTATTGGTAAGATAAGAATCTTTTAACTGTTATAAGTGAATTTAGATTTAATTAGACTCCTTTTTACTGGGTTGCCTCTCCAGAGAGAGATTAAATTCTGAGATTTACTCTTGATTGCTTTGGTGAAGGATTTTGTGGGAGTAGTATTAAGACTAATTACTGCAGGGCTTCTGTACTTATTAGCTATAGAGGACTTAGGGTCCAAGCCTTCACTTAGGACTGTGTTCACTGTCTCACCCTTGCTTACCTACATTCCAGACATCAGGGTCAGGAATCTGATTGGCGGCGTCAGAAAATTTTTCACTTGGTTCCAAACTTGGAGAAGTAACCTTTGGAAGATTAAATGGCTCTGAAATAAAGCAGACCAGAAGTTATAGAAGCAGAGTGGAAACTTCTTTTTGTTTTTCATTCCTCATTTGGCTAAGGTGTCCATAGCTATGAGATATGGAGGGTGGGGGGGGGCAATAGAACGCGACTCCACTTATCTGTCCCCCAAATGAAAAACTTGCCGTCATCTATAGCAGTTCTATTGACACAGTTAGCCTCATGTTCTTTGAGCCTTTTGATTGGGACCACATGGCAAGCATTATATTTGCAGTTAGCCATCTTTTTTAGTTTTCTTTGGATTTTTCTAAAAGGAAGAAATTCTTGTTAAATGGCTATTAGGTTTTGCCTGTATTCTACCCTCCATTCCTTTCTGGAAATGCTGAAGACATACCGTGTTCCAACATTAAGAACTTGCAGGTGCTATGTATACTCAGAAGTTGTTGTTTGTTTTTTTTTTTTAATTTCTTTCTTTCTTTATTGATTTTTGGCTGCCTTGGGTCTTCGTTGCTGTGCCCGGACTTTCTCTAGTTGCAGCGAGCGGGGCCTACTCTTCATTGTGGTGCATAGGCTTCTCATTGCGGTGGCTTCTCTTGCTGTAGAGCACGGGCTCTAGGCATGTGGGCTTCAGTAGTTGTGACACGCAGGCTCAGTAGTTGTGGCTTGTGGGCTCTAGAGTGCAGGTTCAGTAGTTATAGCACATGGGCCTAGTTTCTCTGCGGCACGTGGGATCTTCCCGGACCAGGGCTCAAACCTGTGTCCCCTGCATTGGCAGGTGGATTCTTAACCACTGCACCACCAGGGAAGTCCTGTTCTTTTATTTATTTATTTATTTATTTTTGGCTGCGCTGGGTCTTCATTGCTGCGTGCAGGCTTTCTCTGGTTGCTGCGAGCAGGGGCTTCTCTTCATTGTGGTGTGCGGGCTTCTCATTGTGGTGGCTTCTCTTGTTGCGGAGCACGGGCTCTAGGCGTATGGGCTTCATTAGTTGTGGCATGTGGGCTCAGTAGTTGTGGCTCGCGGGCTTAGTTGCTCCGTGGCATGTGGGATCTTCCCGGACCAGGGCTCAAACCCGTGTCCACTGCATTGGCAGGTGGATTCTTAACCACTGCGCCACCAGGGAAGCCCCCTGTTCTTTTTTTTTTAAAGGGTCTTTAACCTTTTATATTCTGAGCTTAGTTTTCTCCCTCCAGTGACTTAAGAGTTATCAGGAAAACTCACCTTTCTACATGATGCCAGGTGGTACTGTAACCTGCTGGCTGACATCCTGTGGTTTGGGTCATAAGGACATATTTCCAAGACTTCTAGCTCCATGAGCCCTAAATAGCAGGAGCCATGAGTTGGCAAAGAAAATACTGACATTTAGGATCAAGTAATTTGACATAGGTCTATTTTCTGTTCTCAGAGAAAGAGTAGTGTGAAAGATATGGGTGTCTCAAGTTTTACCTATGAAAGTTTTGGATAACTAAACAATAGCCTAGCCAGTTAGATAGTAGGATAATAGGACAAATTCACTGCTTATCTGCCTTGGAAGGCCAAAAATTAGTATTTGTACATATCATATTGCTTGTTTTAGATAGTTTTTTTTGCCCTTCATTAGCATGTTAAATAAACAGGTAGGATTCCTTGGAAAACTCACAGTACTGGGGTAAGGTGTAGTTTAACACCATAAGCTTGAGTGCTGGAGAAAGCAGGGGCTGGGGCAGCCGGTTCTTTCACTGTTCAGCGCTGCCCCCTTCCATCTCTCTGCCAAACCTGTCTAAATTAAGCTCTTTTCCAGACAAGGATGCTACTTGTCAGATAGGTCAGCATAGACGCTTTTGGGGAGAGGGATTTAGAAGAATGAACATTACCATACTCAAGTTCAGGCTACTTTATAATTATCTGAGAATGCCCATCCGAAATCTCTCAAGTTGTAGATATTAACACATGAAGACACCTAGAAATGAACTAAGAATACACAGTCTCAAATCTGCCTCATTTTACTACCAATAGGAGGCCTACACTCCCTTATGGCTAGCTGTCTTTAGCATCGCAGACATTCACTTCAAGGACTCCCAAGTTTCCAGGCAACAGCTACAGTTGAGATTTCTGCAAAGCAGAGACAGCACAGTCTGATAAGGGGGAAAAAGATCAAGGCAGACTGCCATAAGCAGTAGGGATAGAAAAGTGCCTAGAATAGCCCATTTCAATTCTACTTTACATCATGCCTAGGGCACAGACAAAGGGCACAGAGCTAGACTGTTAAATGTCAGATTTTCCTGAGGGCATTTAGGTGATTAAGTCTAGGGATTTAAACTCAGGTACCTTTCAGGAACACAAGCCAAGGTGTTTTTTTAAAGCTTACAATGCATATTAATGGTTATGTTAGAGCCGTGAACACTTACTCTGAAGTGAATTGGCTCCCTGAATATAAAGACGCAGTATAATCCAACATTGCATAGCTATCTTTAGATTCTTCTTCTTTTTTTTTAAAATTATTATTGGGGTATAGTTGTTTTATAATGAAGATTCTTAAAGATAATGGAAAAAGAGCTTTAATACCTAAGTGTAGTCTTTAGATAACCTCAAACCCTTATTTTTAGCCAGCAGCCTAGAAAAATTTGAAGTCTGATTGGACTGAAAGGCTGGTCTTAATAAACAAAGAGTGCTTCAGGCATAGGCCTCAAGAATTGGTGCCCTGGGACCGTTCACCTAATTATTGCTAGCTGAATATCCCATGTAGAGAGGCCAACACTATAATGGAGGCCGTTCGGTTTAATGCCATTTGTTAGACTTGGCAAGAGTATTCCAACCTTGATGCTAGCTTGACACTTAAACCTAGTCTGAAGGCTTTTTAGACTGAACTTATTCTTGAAGCAGTGACTTTCAAGAATCCGAAAGGCAGGGTCACTTGAACAGGAGAACAATCCTTCTGTAAGGCAAAACAAGGCAAACAGCTGAAGTGTGACGGGAGGGAAAGCACAGTACCTTTCAGTCAAGTGATGTGAAGCAACTTTCTACTCAATTCCTCTTCTCCCATCATATGTTCTGTGGTTTCTCAGAGGTTTGGAAGTTTTTGATGTCATAGTTCGGTCTTGAGAAGTGGTTCTCAAGCCTGGTTGTGCATGAGAATCACTGAGTAGTTTTAAAGTGACAGAGCCTTTGGCCCCACTCCAGAACTGTTGTATTAGAATCTTCACGAATGGGGTCTGGCTAACTGTGGCTTTAAAAGAGTTCCACAGGGTATTCTGATTTGTAGACAGGTTTACTAGATCCTGCTCTGGGGTAATTAAACTCCCCTTAGAAGGGTTCCTCCAGTTTCCAGCAGGACCTGCCACATAATGTTTCCAGTGAAGTTTCTCTAGAGATTACCTGTTGGCATGATTAGTCTCATCTTTAAACCTGGCCTTTTTCTTTATGGGGTGCCAAATAGAATTCCACAGAAAGCAACATAAGCTCACTACATGCTAAAAAAAATCAAAAATTTATATTTAGCACTCCCAATCCAGGTCTTGAGCCAAATATTTACATATACCATGTCATATAATAACTTGCACAGTTGTATGAGGGATTACTGCCATTGTATAGATTAGGAAACCAGCTCAGTGGTGGTAGATAGCTTAAAGTTACAAAGATAGTAAGTGTTGATTTCATCAGGAATGACTTTTTTTTTAAATAAATAAATTTATTTATTTATTTATTTTTGGCTGTGTTGGGTCTTCGCTTCTGTGCGTGGGCTTTCTCCAGTTGCGGCGAGCGGGGGCCACTCTTCATCGCGGGGCGCAGGCCTCTCACTGTCATGGCCTCTCCCGTGGTGGAGCACAGGCTCCAGACGCGCAGGCTCAGTAGTTGTGGCTCACGGGCCTAGCCACTCCGCGGCACGTGGGATCCTCCCGGACCGGGGCACAAACCCGTGTCCCCTGCACTGGCAGGCGGATTCTTAACCACTGCCACCAGGGAAGCCCCAGGAACGACTTTAAGTATCGGGAATCTGTCAGGCTCATAGTAGTGGATACAAGTTTTCCAGAATTGTCATTTCTGCTTGACAGTTTGTATTTTATCAGTGGCAATAAATACTGTCAGTTGCTTTCTCTGGAAAAAAAAAAAAAAAAAAGCTAGCAAGTGTTTGAGTATCATTATTACTATTCTTTGATGTAATACATGTCAAGCGCTTAAAGTACCTGGTACATAGTAAATAACCAGGTCATCACTTTACATGCAGTAACTTACTTAACACACACAGTACTCCCAAGAGGTAGGAACTATTAATATCATCTCAATTTTACAGACAGAGACACTGGATCAAAGCTGCTAAGTGATAGAGTTGGGATGTGAACTCAAGCTATCTGGCTCTAGAACCTGGGATCCTAGCCTCTAAGTCATAAGGCTCAGTCCACTGTACTCAACTATTGAACCCAGAATTCTGTCTGATTCCAGAATGTAGGCTTTTCCCATATGCCAAGTATGGGCAAATAAGTGTTTCTAGGCTCTAGCAATCTTACAGTTCAGCTGAGGTGGCAGTATAATATGAAATGGGCAATTAAAGGTGAAAACTAATTTAGGTGTAAAATATGTGCTATAGACCAAGTGCTGTAGGAGTTCAGCAAGGGCTGGACTTGGGATTGTTTGTGCTAGATCCAGAAGATTGGGATTTGGGTCAGCAAGAGGGAAAGCATACATAAATGAGAAAGGCAGAAATGAAAAATGAACATAGGACACTGAGAACATGGTCCCCACTAAGCTGGTGAGTACATAATAGGGGACAGCAGAGCATAAGATTGGCTTAGCATGGAGTGTCTTTAACAAAATTTTTTGGATGAGGATAAGAAATGCAAGTGAGAAAGATCCAATAGGAACTATACTAACCCATAAGGAGGCTGCTGCTATACTGCTGGTCAGCTCCGTAGATATTGGTGTCTTACTGCCTGCCCTTTATTGTCCTCCATCAAGGTGAAAGACCAATAGAAACCTCATGGATCTCTTTAGTAGAACCTGAGTTTCATTGGTAACAGCAGGTAATTCAAATATTTGGGGCCACTATCACCTTATGCTAGGCCCATAGCCTTCTAGGGACTCAATTGCAGTAAATAAGCTGGAACGCAGGTTCTGTTTTCCGAAAATGCAAAGTCTACCTTAGAGATATTTGAAATTTTATTCCATCTTCTTGTTTATTTGAAAAGGTGTTAGAAAGGAGGTAGATATGAAGACAATTCTGTTTGATTTAGAATTTTCTGAGGGCTTTCTGCTTTTTGCCTTGAAAGAAACTTGAAAGGGAGCTGATTTTCTTGAGTTAGGGAGTTAAGGCCTAACTTGGAATGACAAAAATATTATAGTGCTAAAATTTATCTAGTCTTCTAAGATTTAAAGTCTGTCATTAATTTCCCCTTGTTAATCTCAGTTAATTTGGTTCTTCTTTATGGGGCCTATTTCCCAGTTTAGTCTTAATAATTCAACAAATAAATCAGCATATTTATTGAGTGGCTATTGTGTCTTAAGAGGTGGTATTCTAGATCATTGTTTCTCAATATGTGTCCAACGGAACATTTGCACCAAAACCTCCTAGAGTACTTGTTAATGCACACTTCTAGACCCCACTGCAGACCTGCCAATCCTGAATCTCAGGAGACAGGGATTGATCTCAGTTTCTTAAGCACCTTTAAGAATCACTGTACTTAAGTGGTGGTTCTCAAACCTGGGAGAGCACTGAATTTAACCTGGAGGGCTTGTTAAAACAGAGTGCTGGATACTACCCCAGAGTTTTGGATTCAGTAGGTTTGGAGTGGGACCTGAGAATTTGCATGTCTGATAAGTTTCCAGGTGATGCTAATGTGACCACACTTTGAGAATCATTGTGCTAGAGGGATATAAAGAAGTGTTAGATACAATTCCTGTCATTAAGGAGCTTATGATGTAGTTGGGGAGATAAGACATATACTTAAAAATATAACAAGGAATACAGTGTTATATAATGTTTGACAATGAATGGGGTAGTTTGGAGGAGTTGGAATTTAATCTAGGCCCTAAAATGTGAATAGGCTTAAGGTTCAGGAGAGAATAACATAGGCATTCTTGATGGGGATATAAAAGAGGGAAAGTATAAAGGTGGATGGGCCTGGGGTGGTTGATACTTTTTGTCTGGTGTGGAGCTTTATATAGGGCGCTAGTGGAAGGGTAAGGCCAAAAAGGTTGGTGGCAGACTGTGAAGAGCCTTGAAAGCCTGCCCCTCTCCCCCACTTCCACACATTTTACAGACTTACCAAAAATTCTGCACAGCTAGAAAGAGGAAGTCTCCCCTGCTGAGTGTGCAAGAGGAAGCACAGAAGATTCGGAGGCCTGTGAGGTGTAATGACTGCTTTCAGCCATGAGCCAATTGTAGAGGCAACGGGAAGACCAGTGCACCAACCAGGCTGGGTGCCTCCGCCCAGAGGGTGTCACCACCCAAGCTGAAAGTGTTTGGGGAGATCAGACATTGCTGTCTGGATGCTCCTCTCTCTCCGTGGCCATCATGTCTTTGACTTCTGCCTACCAGCATAAATTAGCAGAGAAGCTCACTATCCTGAATGACCGAGGTCAGGGGGTTCTCATCCGAATGTATAACATCAAGAAGGTAAGCATAGGCAAGGGGACTAGTACTAACTATTCCAGCAGTCATAAGGCAGGGAACCCTGAGGCAGGTCCAGCCGTTAGGCTTGCTCCTCTTTCTCACTCGTTTAACTGGCCTTCAGTCACTCAGATTATGTGGGACAGCCAGTGCTGGGAGGCAGAAGCGGAGGCTTTTTTTCAGGGCTTCCGCCTTTCTTGGTATGATTCTCACCCCCAACGAGGGTGTCTGCTTCCTGCTGGGGTTAGAGGTGGGATGGGAAATAACTGTGTTCCGGGTCTCCTGGATAAAAATCTGGGTCTAGAATTCTGGGTCTTATTATTTAGTGCTGGTCCCCCACACTCTGAAGACAGCCAAAGTTGGGTCTCTGGCAAAAACTTTTTCGTGCGAGTACTTTCCCTAAAAGGAAAAAATAGATATGCTATTTGGATTAAAAAAAGAGTAGGTACCTTCTGAGGGACTTAGACTCTGAGACAGTTCTTGCTGTGGTTATATATATGTGTGTTTAGGATAGGAACTTTGGAATTGGGAGAAGCTGGTGGCAAGAGGTGGGCTAGGGGCTGGGCCTAGTGAAGTTAAGAGATAAAGATGGGGGGGGGAGTGGGGAATTTCTGGAAGAGAAAATAGGGGACTTGGGGGAGGGGACTCTGGTGCATTTCATAATAAAACAAATCACTGGGGACATCGTTTCTCTGTCTCCCTATAAATGCCCTTTGGGATAAGATGCTTATATAATGGGCATAATTGTGACACTGATTCTCCCACAGAGTCTAACTCCTGAGCAGCTGCTTTTCTCACTCCTTCCGGCTTCAGCTGAGGGGTGAGGAGAGAGCTTCCTCTTTGTGCTGTGCAAGCAGATGTTAAGCTTTACCCAGCAAGACGAAATGCTGAGGTTATTTAGCTCTTCTGATAGTTGGCTTAATGTCCTGGAACTTGTTCCTGACCTACTCTTATGCTTTTATAATTAATTCCCAGATTCCCTTTCCCTAAGAGAGATTGTGTGAGAATGCATGATGCAGGAAGAGGTGTTTCCAAGGAGCGGGAGAAAGCGTTGAAATATAGTGTTATTTATTTGTGCAGACTTGTTCAGACCCCAAATCCAAGCCCCCTTTCTTACTGGAAAAGTCCATGGAATCATCTCTCAAGTACATCAACAAGAAATTTCCCAACATAGATGTCCGAAACAGCACGGTGAGAATGCTGTCCCTCTTCTCTCCTTTCTCTGAAATAACTCTGTGCTTGGATGGTTCAAACTGTCTTTTGACTGCCTCTCTTTGAACTTGGCAGGGGTTGGTGTAGCCTTCTTTTAGTTTTCCTAAGCTCAACCACAGGGCTTCAGGTTGTTGTAGTCTTAAGAATTCTGAGATAAGATGGGATTCTCCTAGGGTAAACTGGAGCAAAGCATTGCCCCTTTCTCCATTGTAAGATTCACAGGAACACTTTGTTCTTACCAAGAAAGACGGCTCTATCGATGAAGCAATTGCATATATTTTATTGTTGTTCCTATTTCCCCCTCAGTGTTTTGTCGGTTATTGTCTTAGAGTTATGCATCTAGTGTCATATCCCTTACTTCTCCCTTATTAAATGTTAGCCCTAGATTTCTTACCATCTTACCTATAGCATCTTCTCATTCAGCTTCTTTTGACTTGGATGTGAATAATAAACCTCTTTAGCTGAAAGAGACCTTGAAATTTCCTCTCATTTCACACTCTATATCCAGTCAGGATTGCATGCAAACATCCTGCCTAGATAGAGAATATTCTCTGTTTAAAAACCTTCAGAGTTCGAAGACTTTCCAACTTCCTCTGTCAGTGTATTTTAACCCTCTTTAAGAATGTTTTAGGTACAACCCCTGTTCTTCTTGGGTTACTTTGATCAATTGTCCTCTTAATTTGTGTTTTTTGTTTTGTTTCTCTCAGCAACATTTAGGACCAGTACATCGGGAAAAATCTGAGATAATTAGATTCCTCACCAACTACTACCAGTCATTTGTGGACGTTATGGAATTTCGGGTGAGCTCTCTAGCCCAGGTCCCCAATGTTTGGATGTTCTTTTATGTTCCTTATTCCTGTTTCTTGAAAAAATAAGATGTATTGATATATGGAGGGATATCTAAGTTGTATTGTTAAATGAAAGTGAGTTGCAGAATAGTATATGATACAATTTTATTTTTGTTTTAAAAGATACATAAACTTATATACACATAGTGTTAGTATATATATATATATATATATATATATATATATATAATGAAAGATTTGGAATATTTCACATTAAACTGTTAAAAATACCTGCCTTTGGGGGTGGGTTATTATGATTGGCTTTAACTTATTACACTATACATTTTTATATTATTTGAGTTAAAATTTTAAGTATTCTTACCCAATAGTTTATTACAAATCTACTGAAAAATTTCAAGAATGGTACAATGAATATTCTTCTACTCTCCCCCTGGATCTCCTGATTTTTAGTATTTTACCATGTTTGCTTACCTTTTTTTTTTTCTTGAACCATTTGAGTTAGTTGCAGGCATCATGACATTTCCCTCCCTGAACACTTTAGCATACATCTGCTAAGAGCAAGAATATTTTCTTACCTAACCTTAATACAATTATCGTACTCAGGAAATGTAAAATTGCTACAATGTTATAGTTAATATATAGCCCATATTCATATTCCTCTAGTTGTCTCAAGGATCATACATTGAATTTATGATGTCATGTCTCTTAGTTGTCATGTCTCTTTAGCCTTTAATCTAGAATAGTTCTCAGCCTTATTTTGTCTTTCATGACACTGACCTTTTTGAAGCATCCAGACTAGTTATTTTTCAGAATTTCCCTCAGTTTGGATTTGTCTAATTGTTAACAGTGTTTGGTAGCATAATACATGGATGATAAATTGAGCTTTAAACAATGAGCATATACTATTTTTGTAAACATAAACTGTGAAAAATTATTTAGTACAATGTTTCTGAAGGGCAGATCGATATAGTGTTTCAAAAGTCTTAAAAATATATACTTTTAAAAGTAACAATTCTAATTCTAGAAATTTGTCTTAAGGAAACAATCAGAAGTGCAAAGGTATATGTACAAGAATATACTCTGTTGCATTATTTATGATAGTGACAACTTGATAATTGATATATTCAAAACATAGAGGCTTAGTTAAAAGTTCAGAGTATATGTCTATAAATGAATATTATACAGCTGTTAAGGATAACACATATTTATATTAATCGGCATGGAAAAATGTTCTTCACATGTTCTTTAGTATAAAAGCAAATTACAGTATAGCTTATGACAGGAGAGGTCCCTGAAATGTATATTTACATAGATAAATATGCATATAAATAAGGCTGGAACTTCTTTACATAGTGAGATTATGAGTGGCTTTAAAAATTAATTGAAATTATGTTTGTATTTTCTAATTTTTCTGCAATGAACACCTATTATTTATGTATTCAAGAAATAACACAAATTTTAGTCATCTGAGCCATTTAAGTTTGTGATGGTATTATAGTATTTCTTCAGGTGGTACAAGAGTATGGGACCCTGCTTTGGGTTTCCTGTGTTTTCTCTAGGGAGCTAATCCAGGCTGTTCATTAGATCATGCAATGAAGAGAGAAGTTGGGACATGGAAGACCGTAAGGTCTGAGGGAGGGTCAGGTCAGAGGTTAATTCATTTGGAATTGACAGTAGTGGTTAGGAAGAAGGTAGGCACTGGTGGAGGTAGTAGAAGAATGCTGGAAGCATATAAAAAGTCTATTACTAGAAAATTTGTCCAAAGGAGATTTTAGGATACCTCTGGTTGCTGCAGTTCTGAGCGCAAGGAATCTAGTATGCATCATTCAGGGCAGGAAGGGAAATAGAGACACGGAGGTATTGTGCATTGTAAAGTAGGTAGGCTCTGAATCAGACAGACCTCGTTTTAAATCTCAGCCTTATCACTTACAAACTGTATGGCTTTAGACAAGAAACTGTTTGACTCCCAGTTTCTTTATCTATAAAAGGGGAAATGAGATTTACTACATGGGGTATTTGTGAGAATTAAATGAGATAACACATTGAAAACATCTAGTACAGTGTTTAGCATATAATAAAGTAATAGGCCAAACAGATGTTAAATCCATTCCCTTCTGATTCTCTCTTTACAGTATAGTGACACTGGTTGTATGAGAGGCTGAAAGCAAACTTCAGTTATATCTTATATCCCTTGGGAATTGGGTTGCAGGAAGGAGTTGTAGACAGGCCCTCCCAGCAAAGGAGGCAGCATAGACCTAGACAGAGGTCTTGAGGTCATGTAGTATAGACAGAAGATCATGGCCTTCGGGTTCTAATTCTGATACTTTGCCTTACTAGTTTTGTGATCTTTGGGGAGTTTCTTAACTGCTCTTAGCCTCAGTTTCCCCATATGTTACTTTAGATACAGCCTTTTGGGGAAGGTAACTTGGAAACATTTTTTCCCATACATTTAATAAGTTTGCAAATGTATATACCTGTGTAACAACCGCCACAAAGTACAGAAAATTACCATCAACCCAAAGCTTCCCTGCACCGTATTTTCCTCAGTCCATCCCTACCTCCCTGACTCCTGGCCCCAGGCAACCACTGGTCTGCTTTCCAGATTAGGTTTTTCTTTTTCAGGGGTTCATATATATAATTAGAATCTATATAGCATGTTTTCTTTTGTGTCTGGCTTCCTTCACTCAGCATGTTTTTAAGATTTGTTTATGTTTCATGATTTATTTCCTATTTTTGCTGAGCACTATTTCATTGTATGGATACAATCTGTTTATCCACTTACCTGTTGATGGACTTTTGGGTTGTGTCTAGTTTTTGGCCATTATGCACCAGTTGCCATAAACATTTGAGTACAAATCATTTTCCATTTCACTTGGGTAAATAATCTAGAAGTTGAATTGCTAAATCATATGGTATGTATATGTTTAATTTTATAAGAAACTGCCAAACATTTTTTCCAAAGTCATGGTTCCACTTTCCCTTCCCATCAGCAATATGTTAGTGTTCCAGTTGCTCCACATTCTCATCAACACTTGCTTTTAGTCATTCTTTTTTTGTTGTTCTTTGGCCGTGCCAAACAGTTTTCGGGATCTTAGTTCCCTGAACAGGGATTGAACCTGGGCCACTGAAGTGAAAGTGCCAAGTCCTAACCTCTGGACCACCAGGGAACTCCCGAATTTTAGTCATTCTGATGGGTGTGTGTAGTGATATCTTCTTGTGATTTTAATTTGCATTTCCCTGATGACTAATATTATTAGGCGTCTTTTCATGTGCTTGTTTGTCATTTTTATATTTTTAATTGTAAAGAGACTGTTCAAATCTTTTGGCAACGTATTTTAAAAATAAAAATATATATACCCTTTGATCTAGCAGTTCCACTTTTGTAGAAATGAAAGTACCAATGTGCAGTGGATAGGGCCAGGAATTGGAACAAAGCAAACACTCATCAGTGGGAAAAAGGCAGAATGAATTGGCCATACCATGGGCTATTATGCAGCCATTAATAAGAGGTACATTAGTGCTCTACCAGATGACTTGAGGACTTTTAGCAGGTAAGGTTGAATAAGAAAAGTAAAATGATAAGAACAGTGTAATATTATCTCAAATTTTTAACACAAATGATTTTCAAAAAGACCCCTCTCTCTCTTTTTCTCCCTATCTGATAGAATTATATAAATAGGATGAAAATTAAGAAAGGACATACCAGGTTGTTAAAGTGGTTTACCTGAGGGTTGGGCAAGATGGAGGGTGGGTGCTGATGTTGCGGGGAGGGAAGTATCCATAGTAAAACTGCATATTTATTTAGGTAAAATTATGTATGCAAAGAAAAAGAATCCCTGTCACACTGAAATGAGGTTAAATGAAGTATATGCAACTTACCTAGTAAGTACTTAGTACATAGTAGGTGATCAGTAAACAGAAACATGTAGAAAGTTGGGTAGTTTTCCCATTTGTTAATGATTAACTTCTGAGAATAAGAGACAGAATCAAAGAACAGACTGATTTTGGGATTCATCAATAAAAATGGGTCTGAGTTTTGGTATTTTAGAAACAGCCTATCAGATGGTCTGCATCTTATAACCTTTTTTTGTGGAGGAAGGGGGCACTGGGATGATAAGATCAGGGAAAGTGTGCATAATGTAGTAGTGACTTGTGCCTGTGGAGACATGGGCATCCAGTAGGGTAGCCTGATAGGGGCCCACGGACAGCTTACGGAGGAGGAACTCCCTCTACTCAGCAACCCTCTCTTATGTTATTCAGGGGCTCTCTAGGACCTCCAAGGGAGAGAACCTTCCCCTCAAATTCTGGTAGTACATGTCATCTTCTCTTTATTCTTTATTCATTCTGATCTCCGATTCTACCCCCAGGATCATGTATATGAACTTCTCAACACGATTGATGCCTGCCAGTGCCATTTTGATATTGTAAGATTCTTGGCAATTCTCTTCTATCCTAGAGCCACGGAAATTGTCTCTGTTGGGACAGTGTGGGGTGAGATGGGACTGGAGGAATGGCTGTTTCCCCAGGACTATAATATAATATATATAATATAATATATACTGTATAATGAATGAATGGCTATTAATTCCAGGACTATAATTCTTTTGTAAAAATGTTGAAGTTAAAGTGTATTTACGGGCTTCCCTGGTGGCACAGTGGTTGAGAGTCCGTCTGCTGGTGCAGGGGACGCGGGTTCGTGCCCCAGTCTGGGAAGATCCCACATGCCACGGAGCGGCTGGGCCCATGAGCCGTGGCTGCTGAGCCTGTGTGTCTGGAGCCTGTGCTCCGCAACGGGAGAGGCCACAACAGTGAGAGGCCCGCTTACCACAAAAAAAAAAAAAGTGTATTTGCATGTTAAGCAGATCAGCAATGTGATTTATTTAATCCAGATTCACATAAAAATCTTCTTATTCTACCTCCTCCAACCTCTAAATGCCACCTTATTTCCTGGCCTCCTTATATCTTGAGCTCACTTTTAGCTCCTGAATTTTGTTAAAATATTCTCCTTCTGAACTTGCAGTCTTGTCAGTTTCTCCTTCTAAATAGATCTTTCCAGAGTCTGTTTAGCACTGTCTGGAATGGTTGGGGAAATAGTGGTTAATAGGCCTTGCTGTTTTTGGGTTCCTGTGTATTTTCCTTGTAGAATCTCAACTTTGACTTCACTCGGAGTTACCTGGACTTGATAGTGACCTATACCTCAGTAATTTTACTTCTGTCACGGATTGAGGATCGACGGGTACTCATTGGCGTGTACAACTGTGCCCATGAGATGCTGCATGGACATAGGTGAGTTGAGATATACAAGATGAAGAATCTCATACATAGTGCTATGAGGTAAAAGTGGATACAAGAGAAATAGATGGCATGCTTTCTCATGTGAGAATCTATAGTCTATATGATAACCCAGGCAAAATAAAGCAATTGCATTGTCTCTAATGAGTTTTTAATCCTGGGCTGGCTGCCACTCTGCTTTTGAGGTTATTGCAAAAGGCAAAGAAAATTCTTTTTAATATTGGTAGGAATAATATTAGTAAAGTTAAAGCCATTAGAGGTAAGTAATGTTTGAAAATACATTTGGAGCCAAATATAAATGGATTTTGGATTATCTGCAATTCTTTGCCTTTCCATTACTGCAAATAAAAGTATTTAAGGGCTGAAAAAACTAAAGACCAGAGGGATCAGAGTGGGCCGTGGAACATTGTTCTGTGTATGATGTGTATTCCCATGTGCCTACATGAATACCTAGGCACATGACTTATCATTCGCTTTGAATGTATATATGTTCTTTTGGGTTGTATACAGATTTGGGTCCAGCCATATTACTTGATTTGTGACTAATCAATATGAATTTATAGAATACCTATCATGTGTCCAACCTTATTTCAGGCGCTTATAATGAAGAAACTTTCATGGACCAGCCCCAAATCATGTGATTCTATCTTACCTGGGCCTGGAGTGGGTTATCTGTATATGTAATTCACAGTTTAGTATCTTTGGAGGTGGTGGAGAATACCAGACTATGTACCATCGTTATCCTATATGCAAACATGAGAGTTTACGTCATGTTTAAGGGAGGGCTGTAACTCCTTTTTCCTATGCTTTCAGTGATCCCAGTTTTGCCCGTCTGGGTCAGATGGTCTTGGAGTATGACCACCCTCTGAAGAAGCTGACAGAGGAGTTTGGGCCTCACACAAAGGCAGGTTTCTTGAGAGAGTGGAGAATTCCTCAGGCAGAAGTATGTTGTCCCCATCATTGACATTGGAGATTCATTTGTTTTTCTCCACAGGCTGTGAGTGGAGCCCTGCTTTCTTTGCACTTTCTGTTTGTCCGAAGGAACCAGGGGGCTGAGCAGTGGCGTAGTGCCCAGCTTCTAAGTATCATCAGCACCCCTGCAGCCATGATTAACCCTGCTAATTCAGACACAGTGAGTTCCCTTTTCCTCTTGTCAGTGGAAGCATTCTCTTTCCAAGGCCATCTCTTTTGAGGGTGCTTCTTTTCAGGAAATATCAGCCCTAAGAGTGCTTTAGCCCTCTTCTAGGATATGCCTCTGAGTTGATCACCTCTTGTGGCTAAAAAAATCATAGTTGGGTTGGAGATTTTCTTTGAACCAGGATTAGTGTGTGCCTGCCCACAGAAGGAATTTAATAAATGTTCATAGAATGAATGAATGGATGAAACTGAGTCATTAGGCACCTATTCAGCCCAGCAGGAACTTGAGCATAGATGTTAATTAATTAACAAATGTTTTTATTCAACCACTATCGGCCCAAGGTCCTTACTTCAAAGAATTTATAATCTAGTAGGAAGATATGCCATGTATTCATAAAAATACAACAGACGGTGCAAGAGTATGAGAAGCACCAAACAAGTGACGTATACTTTACATGGTAAAAGAATCCAAGGGAGACGGAAATCATGAGATTTTGAGTATTACTCTCCTGAATTGTTGAAGAGAAGTTATGTCAAACCATTTGTTTGTCCAAGTTCCTTTTTCTTTTCTCAACTATATTATTGTTTCCTCACTCCACTTCTAGTGCCTCACCTCCATTATTGGCAGGCTTCCCAGATATTGGCTTATCAAAGTACCCTTATCCAGTCTGGTAAAATAAAAGTTGGTTTTGATACTCAAATTCTAGCTTGACTGCCCTTGTCTTGACTGCCTTAGTCTTTAGCGTAGACCAAGTTAAATAACTGCTAGACCATCTCTGCCTCTCTTCTCATAGATGGCCTGTGAGTACCTGTCTGTGGAAGTGATGGAGCGCTGGATTGTCAGTAAGTTTTGTGGGATGAGGTGGGAACAGACATAGCATGTTATATGGAGATCAAATTCTAAAAGTCTACCTCTGCACTGTTTTACCCACCCACAGTTGGGTTTCTTCTTTGTCACGGGTGCCTCAACTCCAATAGCCAGTGCCAGAAGCTGTGGAAGCTGTGTCTGCAGGGTTCCCTGTACATCACCCTCATACGGGAGGATGTGCTACAAGTGCACAAGGTCACCGAGGATCTGTTTAGCGGTTTGAAAGGGTGAGATATGAGGTCCCAGCTAATCTTTTAGCCCCTCCTGACAGGGATTTTTAGCCCCTCCTGACATCCTTTTCTAGTCTCCATAAGTGTCCCAAGTACAGGTGTTAAGGAATAATTCTAATTATTGAAGAAATATTTATTGAATACATTCTATTTACTAGGTACTTCACTTGATACATTAGTTAATAAGATAGCATAGAGGTTAAGATAATGGATTCTGAAACCAGATTACCAGGGTTTGAATTCCAGCTCTACCACTTACTGGCTATGTAATCTTGGGCAAGTTACTTAGCTTCTCTATGCCATGCCTCAATTTGTCTATAAATAATAATGGTACTTCCCTATGACCTACCTCATAGGGTTGTTATGAGGAATGAAAGAGTAACTATTTATAAAGCATGTAGAAAAGTGCCTGGTACTTTGTAAGTGCAATATATGTGCTTATTAAATAAAAAAGACAGAATCTCTGCTCTCAAAGAGCTTGCAAATTAGTGAAAAATAGATAAACTGTTGTGATATAATAAGGGATTATGATGTATAAACCTAAAGTGCTTTAGAAGGATACTTAAACTGGCCCTGGAGGATCCAGGAAAACCTGGAGACAGACCTGAAGAATTAAAAAGGGGAAGCGTGTGTGTGTGTGTGTGTGTGTGTGTGTGCGCTGGAGTGGTGGGGGTGGGGATGGAAAGGCAGGGAAATTGCTTAAGGCAGAGAAAGATACTTTAGGCAGAGAAACTATCAAGATTTCGAGGCAAAAGGGAGCATGGCAAGTTCTAAGAAATTCATATAGCCCAGGTTACAAAAATGAAGATGTTGTCAAGAGACAGCTTTGGAGAGGTAAGCTGGGGCCTTGGATGTCCTGTCATGGGGTTTGAGCCTGTTCTAAAAAGGCTAGGGAGGACTTCCCTGGTGGCGCAGCAGTTAAGAATCTGCCTGTCAGTGCAGGGGACACGGGTTTGGTCCCTGGTCTGGGAAGATCCCACATGCTGCGGAGCAACTACTGAACCTGTGCTGTAGAGCCCGTGCGCCACAACTACTGACCCCGCGTGCCTAGAGCCTGTGCTCCGCAACAAGAGAAGCCACCGCAGTGAGAAGCCCGCGCACCACAACGAAGGGTAGCCCCTGCTCGCCGCAACTAGAGAAAACTCGTGCGCAGCAATGAAGACCAAATGCAGCCAAAAATAAATAAATAAATTTATTTTTTTAAAAAAAGGGATAGGGAGCCACTGAGTGATTTTTCTTTTCTTTTTTTATAAATTTTTTTATTTTTGACTGCGTTGGGTCTTCGTTGCTGTGCGCAGGCTTTTCTCTAGTTGCAGCGAGCGGGGGCTACTCTTCGTTGCGGTGCGCGGGCTTCTCACTGCGGTGGCTTCTCTTGTTGCGGAGCACGGGCTCTAGGCACGCAGGCTACAGTAGTTGTGGCGTGCGGGCTCAGTAGTTGTGGCTCGTGGGCTCTAGAGTGCAGGCTCAGTAGTTGTGGCGCTCGGGCTTAGGTGCTCCGCGGCATGTGGGATCTTGGACCTGGACCAGGTCTTGAATCCATGTCCCCTGCATTGGCAGGCGGATTCTTAACCACTGTGCCACCAGGGAGGTCCCCATTGAGTGATTTTTAAACAGGGGAGTAACACAATGATATTTGCATTTTAGAAAAAGTCACTCTGGCTGCAGGGAAGAAAAGATGTTAGGTGGAAAAAAACTACAAGCAGGGATTAATTAAGTAAATTAGGAGGAATTGAGGGTGAAGTCAAGGTTTCTGGATTGGATACTTGGTATTCCTTAAGATAAAGAACATATGATAAAAGCTGGTTTGTGGGGGAAAGGTTGTGAATTCAGTTTTAAGCTGTTTGAATTTGAAGTATTTGTAGCACAGTGAAGTTAGATGTAGACTCTTACCTGTGATTGTGGAACTTAGGGGCAAGATCTGGATTCAGATAAAGCTTGGCAAAACGGTAATCAAAGCTTGTGGGAGTAGGTGAGATTACTCACGGCGAATGTGTGGAGTGGGAAGAGACTGGGATAGAACCTCTGAGAACATTGAAATTTAAGGGCCAGCAGAGGCAGAGAAATCAGTGAGAGGTGCTGAGAAGAAGAATAACAGAGGCAAGGGAAGAAGACATGCTAAGAAGAAAGGACCAGTTATCTATAAATATGTTAGACGCTGTTGGGAGGTCAAATAAAATGAGGACAGAAAAATGTTCGTTGAATTTGGCTGTAAAGATGGTCTTAGTCCCCTTCTTGTGGATAACTTCAGTTGAGTGCTGAGGTCAAAACCTGGACTGCAGTGGGTTTAGGACCAAATGGGAGATAAGGAATTTAGTAAATAACTCTTTTTTTT